TCTCTCTGCGTCTCTCTCTGTATCTCTCTCATGCATCAGCAGAGGCTAATGAATAAATGGTAGAAAGCAATATAGAAAGCAACCTCTTTTTTCCATCCTGGATGTTCTCAGTCACCCCAAGCTGCAGCCATGTTTTCCTACACAAATATGGGGCCCCCGACCCTGCCAGGAATTCAAACCTCCTTTCCATAACCCTTTGAGAGTTAGAAAGTGTTCTCCAAGCTTTCATCTGCTGGATCTGGCTGTGGACATCACTGTGTGCTGAAAATCAATGAGTGAAAAGCTCAGGTCAAGGCAGCAAGTGTGGCATAATGGGCATAGAGTCAGGAAGCCCTGAGTTCAAATCCTGATTTTGACACTTCATACCTGCATGACTTTGGGCAGGTCAATTTCATTACACTAGGTTTCAGTTTCTTCAAATATAAAATGATAGATTATATCCAGGGTTCTTAGTCTGGGGTCTATGAACTTGTTTTAAAAATGTTTTGATGATCATATTTCAATATAATTGGCTTCCTTTGTAATCTGTTGTGCTTTACTTTTTGCATTTAAAGACATTATTCTGGGAAGGGATCTACAGGGTTCACCAGACTTTCAAAGAGATCCACGGCATGAAAAAAAAGTTAAGAATTCCCAGATGTGCATTTCAGCTCTAGGTCTATGACATCATAACATCCTATGAGGAACATGATTTTGGGCAAGCCAATTACCCCAGATCTCAGTTTCCTTATCTGTAAAATAAGAAAGCTAGACTAAATGGTCTTTATGATGTTTGAGCCTATGAGCAGTACAATCTTGGGTAACTGACTTCACCTCTAGCTCTATGACTGTAACCTATGACTCATGACTGACTCACTCTTTGGCTCCCTCCCCACTGAAGGTCCCATGACCTCATATCTATCTATCCGTGTATCCATCTATCTATATATCTATCATCTATCTTTTCATCCATCCATGTATCTCTATCTATTCTATCTAACCATCCATTCAACCATTCATCCATCCATCTATCTATTCCATCTATCCA